TGTACTCCTGCTTTAAAAAAATACTGATGACTCTACAGTGGCATCCGAACTAAAAGGTGATGAACAATAATTCGTCACCACCAGGATTTGGCAATTGGGTTCCCTAATCCTCAGTAGTTTAGCACACTCAGCGCGTATTGCAAAGATCCAGGTCGAGTCCCAGCGAGAGCATTGCTCATTTTTCATGTACTTCTGCTTCAAAAAACACCCTAATGACGTTACAAAAGAAATACGGATGTTCTTTTCATGGGATACTGTCTGAACATTAGTCAGATAATTCGAAGAATCCGAATTCGACTTTGAGGAAAGTTACATCAATATTTCAATGATATCTCGCTCCAGATTTGTCTCATTTCTCCAGTAGTTCGCTATTATGGTGGACTACTAACTTTTTGGGCTAACCAGCCTAAATCAATGATCTAAATTTAAAATAAAGTGGTATAATGCTTCACTATAAATTGTTGAATTATTATCTAGTTGGGAATTTTCTTTTCGAATGGCTTTAGGGAATTTAAAAGATACAGTTATAAATAGAAGTCGAGTCTTCTGCTTAATATTATTACACTGTGGTTTTCGAAAATGTAACTGCTGAAGTTTAAGAAAACAAATTTTTAGGTTCTAAGAAGCTTAAGGGAACGGCAGGGCTTATTATGGTGTAACTGCATAAGAATTGTAACATAACTTTAAACTTCTGGAGGAATACTTTAATTCAAATTTCTGTTATTCTAATATAGTTCTGAAGCTTTCTGAAGCTCCCTGTTATTTTTATATATCTTCTGAAAGTCTTTGAAGTTTCTTTGTATACATAGTGTATATACAGAAACTTGTATACACAGAAACTTCAAGGACCTTCATAAGATAGACATTCATGATCAAGTTAATGTCTATTTACTGAAGCCTAGGAGAATAGCTCAGTAAATAGACATTAACTCATAGTCTAACTGCAAAAATCTATGAGACTCATTCAGATATAGTCTAACTGCCTAACTATAGAAACCTATTCTTATATTCCGTCTGTATGATAAAACCATTGTATGTCTATTATTACTTTGTGCAATTATTTTTGTTCACTGCTTAAAATAAGAAATTAAAATTAATAACAATAAAAATAAAGTTAATAACCTTCATGGTTCTTGATTATACGTTCAGACTTGTTGCATAGTATCGATCATAAATCCTACAAATTAAATGTTGAGGATTTCTATCACACTATCTGCACAATGTCACAGCCAGGAAAACGCATTTTTAATATTTTCCTTCACATGAAACTTTAAGGTAGTTATTCGAGCTTAGCTAAACAAAAGAAAAGCATATTCTCTGAGGGGTATAAAGAGAAATTATTATGTAAAACTTTTCTCATAACTAAACCCAAAACATCAGATACGTTTTCTTCAAATCAGGGATCTTTCAGTGATTCATGGTTTTGATATATTGCCGACGATAATGCACTGAAATATTTTTAATCCATATTTCATGGTAAACATTACAAAGTGAATAAATGTTGAAAGTGCGCTGCATTTAAACGACAACAGCATGCTGACTATTTGTCGTAATCATGTTAAACTATTTACCTTCAACCACTGCAGCACACTGTAAATATTACTTCATGCTGCAAATTAAGTTTAGCAGTTCGAGCTTAAAAGCCGAAAATGGAATATAGCTTCATTTCGGCATACAAGAGTGAAAGAACAATATTATAAGACAATCAGAAAACAAAGAATAAAATTGCTAAATTGGTTCTTAAAGGAGAAAGTTAAAAAAAAAAAAAAGTATGATAATACTATAACGGACATGAATGTTTCACATTGTTAAATTAAATTAAGCAGAACTTGTAATCTGAATTGCTCCTAACCCTTTCTTTAATGGAGGAGTTCGAACTCTCATCCCACAGTTTCAACCGTTTGTCTCGGATCCCTCGGAGCATCATTCCGTTTCTATGGCAACAGGATGCGGAGGAGTGAGACCTTAATGGCTGTACGCTCTCGCTCCGCTTAATGAGCCTTAAACTCCATTCACACTCTCTTCATCCTCTCTGTTCGATCTGCCGACCACCGAACCAGAACCCGAAACGGACCAAACAAATTATCGCAAACGATAATCTGCTGCTCCCTCTCCACCGCCATCACCACCGCCGCCTCTCCAGTGTTTACCTTCCATTCATTTTTTTCACACCCCATCTTTTCAGGAGGGCTTTTCTTCTCTCTTCAGTTGTTGCCCCGTAATCATCCTCGCGAATATGTTTAATGGATTTTTAAAAATGAAGCGTTAGTTTTACACTCTCGCCACCGGGGGAAATAAAAAATGGAGCTATGTTTGTATAAAACCGATCATTTGGTTATTCCTGTGAAATCTAATTGCTGCCCGAATAAGCGATAAAGGAAGAACGGGAAATGGGGGTATTCCATGTCAGCGGTCTTTGTTGAATAAGTAAAAGAAGCTTAAGAATATTGAGATGGGAGACTGCATTTTGTACCTCTAGAATCACTTACTGTAAACATAGTGCAGAAGACTGTGCCGAAATGTAAATATTCTTCGAATCATAATGTTTAGGATTATTTTTAATTAGAAATTATTCTACCAAAAGAAAATGGAATTCTAGTCCGAATTAAAACGTTAAATAATATTTAATAGAGCTTTTTCATTTCATCTGCTGTTTAGGCTAAACATAAATTTGAAAATTAATGCTGTAGAAATATTCGTATTAATTTTATGTTATTACAAAATACCGGTGTTTAAAAACTTATTGAAACCTGATTTTATATCATCATGAAATATAACATGTAATTATCACAATATTTATAAATTTATCTCATTAGCAAATAAGTAAGTACTATGTTATATTTGTGTGTTACCTGAGTTCTTAAATATAGATGCGATAGATAGTAAAAAAAGGTTTCGTAATTTCAAATTTAAAGTAATAGAAATATTTAAAGTTACTTTAAATCAAGTAAAGTTTTGCAGTATCTGATAAAAATATAAATAAAAGTTGAAATAAATTACTTATGGGTATATTTGTTTATTATGGGTACATTTGTTTATTATATTTGAAAGTGAGTTCATTCATCTTTCATCATAATTAAAACATATACTCGTAACTATTGTACAAAAGTTGTGCTAAGGTAAATATGTAGTAACAATATATTCGAAAAAAAAATTAAAAAATTACACTTGGAAAAAAACCGTTGCATACCTAGCAATGGATAGCTAAGTATATTTATCTAATTACAAACATATGAATGTTATTTAAAAAAATCTGATGTGGATACGACATGGTTTCCTTATACGGCCTATTAAATTATACGCATTTTTGCCGCACTTTATTTAAACTTATTTCCTCGAATTATTCTAACTTAGTAGAGTCATTAGGAATTTTTTCGATGTCAGGAAACTGAAAAAATGTGCAGTACCCTCACCGGGACTCGAACCTGGATCTCTCGAATACGCGCCAAGTGTACTATCCTTACATCACGAAGGCATGTGGAAAGGAGAAAGAAAATACCTTATAAGTTAACCGATCCCTCAACATTAACTTAAATGTAACTCAAGTGATATCAAAAATTGCAAATTTTGAAATTAACTGTCCCGGTCAAATTTTGTCATACGGTAGCCAAACTTCTTGTGATTCTATTTGCATAACGAATATAAAACTTATAGCAGTCCGATACACAAAATTTCAACTTTCTACTGCTAATCGTTTTTAAGCTATGCGAGAGCCGCCCAGACAGACCGAAGGGCCTGGGTTCGAATTCCGGAGAAGGCATGGGTGTTTGTAAATGTATAGTGTCTTTGTAGCATGGGAGCACTCTAAATATATAGCAAGCCAAAAGTCCTCTCGAGAGTTGATAGTAGTGTAAGAGGGGTGGGAGACTGTCGGATCTTTTCCCCGGGATGCTCTCCATCAAAACTGGGGGCAGAACTGAGCGAAGTCGTAATGTCACCTGTAAAAAGCTTAAGGCTTTTAAAATGATATGCGCAATCTTGCTCTCCTTGCCATGTTGAATTTCGTGGGCTTCTTCTGATGTTATTTTCATACAAGTGAGATAATTCACAATACAGCAGCACTACACAACAAGCTAAGCGAGATACATACATAAGATGTGCGTATAAGGGGTCACGAAAAAATTCCTTTTTAATCCATTTTAAATACATTTTTACAATCCGTTTTGGAAAAAAGAATACTTTATTCTGTCGTATGTACAGATGTCACGCAAAACAAATCTCCAAAATTGATTCGGGAAAAAGTTGAGTTGAATGATGATACCCGAAATGTTTCGTGATTACAGTATTTCCTTTACTTAGTACATGGAAGTAAAAAGAGTCATGTCAGGCAAAGCATTTCCTCAAGACCAGTCTTGTACTAACATGGCTTCGAAATTTAAAGTACTAAAGTATATATTGAATATATTTTTCAAAATAAGCAATGAAGTAACTAGACTTTAAATATATAGCGCAGTGCCTATTGTATTTATAAATTTGAATTGACTCCCCTTCCAAAAGGTAGATAGTCAAATTTGGCATACCTACATCCATGGAAAGCAAGGAATCATGGCAACAGTATATTCGAGAGACGATTTTCCAGTGCAAGTACAGTTTGTGGCAATGGGCGCCTACATTAGAGCAGGCTGTGTCGCAGACCGCTGAGTAGGCATTACGGAAGAACAGTAAAGATCGGAAGAACTGTGGGCTGGACAATTAGAGGATTCTTTAGATTCCAATAGAATGGTGCAAAAGCAAACTCAAATCACACGTTGAATCACGTTTGGTTTTAATACATTTACATTTTGATTACCGCATTTTTCGAGCTTATATGGCAAAAGATTCTTTAAAGGTTAGATGCTTTTTACGAATAAAAAGAATTTACTTTAACTCAGATTTCCCAAACTTGGAGTTACTTATATCAAGTTATTGTTTTGGCTTTGATTTAATGTTGTGTTACATGCAATAAGTATTGCAAATACTAGACGTTTCTTATAATTTTGTGTTTTTTTTTTTCCTTGCAGACGGAAATAGCAAAGCGTCTCAATGCCATTATTGCTCAGATAGTGCCGTACCTATCACAAGAGGTGAGTGATTAGTTCGCTGTTGTGCTTTTTCTAACCACTGTACTTTGGTAGACTATAACAAAGACATAAATAAAGCGATGTGTAAAATATATGATATTATTATACACCTCTTTTAGTAAGTTCGCACAAAACTACCATCATCTCAATGCCGCAATAGAGAGTTACAATTATACTTGCGAGACGACAAAGCTTCATTGTCTAGTATCACAAGCATAACATTAAATGAAGGTAACCCTTTCTTAAAAAATCCAAAATTAAATAAGCAGACATGCTATGTAGGCAAATTAAAATATCCTTAAAATGATGGTATCTACCAAAATCAAATCTAAAGTGTAACTTAAATCTAAGTAGTAAATTAAATTTGAGGTTTCAGATTAAAAAAAAATGGTTAATCAAGACGTGAAGAATTCTCACATTACATTATGTTAACATTAATTTTAAATTTCAATAAAATGTTGTCTTGGATAAGGATCAATTAAATGTTATCTTGGATAAGGTATAAACATACTACTTTCTGATATATTATGCAATTACAATTTACTTGTGCTAAATGTTTACATAAAAATGTCCGTACATATATAGAAAATAATATTTTAACCCCTTAACTGCCGCGGGCGTATATATACGCCTTGCTCAGCCAATGCGTTAACTGCCCCGGGCGTATATATACGCCCTTACAAAATACTATCAGTTGCTTTGCGCTGCTACCCGTTAAATTATTCGCAAACTTTTGGAATGCAACACCAGAATGACCTTGACGAAGTATGTGAAGGAGGATATTATTTCAGAGAAGTGTGGGGAGAAATTGGAGAGAGGGACGTGTCTAAAGTGCTGAAAGTAATGACTGCGTGGTATTGGCTAGTGTTGTTTGAGTAAAACGTATTTTTTTTTTATTCTGTGTCCTCCGTTTTCGTTTACTTTTTGTAGTAGGTTCCAGGAATAAAGAAAGATATAACGGATGTTTCAAATCCATTTATCTTTTTTGAATTATTTTTTGATGAACTGCTCGTGCTTTATATTGCTACTGAAACTAACCGTTTTGTAGACGAGTATATGAACCAACAACACCTTGCAAACGAAAAATCAAGAACAATATCGTGGCATTCAGAAGAATATATGTTTTTATAGGCATACTGATTTCACAAGGTATATAACACTGAAACGTGATATTACACTTTACTGGTCTAAAAATGAATTGATCGAAAACCCATTATAGGGACTTTTTTTATTATAAAAACATCATTTTTATTATACTTACATCTTTTTATTATATTTTTACTCAAAATATTAAATTTTGTGCATTCATTTTTTTTTCTTTTAGTGTTTATTTTGTGAAAGTAAACAATTTTTAGAAAGTAAAACTTGCTCTTATTTTCCCCCTAATAAATCGCATAACTACGCGCGGATATGTGAAAAACCGTGGCACTGGGGAATGAATCTTGTACGTTTTCCGCGGCAGTTAAGGGGTTAAGAATAAATAATAATAATCTATGAATAAAGAAAAAACATCTAATATAAAAGTAATTATATTGCCTGAGTTTTCTGTAACTTTGTTTCCGATATAATTTTTCCCGAGAAATAAATATATCTTAATATATATTCGTTTGATAATAAATACAGCTTAGCAATATAAACGCAGAAACGACTAACCCAATGTTCAAAGAATTTTAGGCTTTTACATAATTGTAGCACTGGAATTGTCGACCGGTTGAAGAGACGGAGGAGGTGTTAGTATCCGAGGGGCGAGTGTGAGTTGAACGAACATTATGCTTCTGTTACATTAAGAAAAATTAATGCTTATTGTAGCAGATAGATATAGAGATAGATATAGTATTTCGATTTATTTACTGTTGTTTAAAATTTTTAGTTTCACTTTTGTCATATTTCATTAGCTTAACATAAGAATCTACGACATGTATTAATTTTGAAATGGTGCAGTTCAGAAGGATTTATTATAAATCTTTCACTATTTTTAGAAGGAAAATAGAGAACATTCAATTTATAAAAGAGACTTTAGAGGTTGTTAATAATTAAAGTTGAGTTTTGTAGAGTCATTAGGTTTTCTCTGGAGCAGAAGACGTGACAAATGCGCAGTGCCCTCGACGAGACTCGAACCCCTGACCTCTCGAATGCGCGTCGAGTATGCTTCCAATGACACCACGAAGGCATGAGGAAAGGAAGGGAGAAATACCTTTATACTGCCCCTTTTAAAGGGCCATTAGTTCGGATGTCACTTGTAGAGTCATTAGGGTATTGTGCATTGCCCTCGAAGGGACTCGAACCTTGAACCTCTCGAATGCGAGTATGATCAAGTCTCGAGTATGCTTCCAGTTACACCACAAAGGCATGTGGAAAGGAGGGAGAAATTACCTTATAAGTTTAATATGTCTGTATGAAATAATTCGGAAAATGGTGGCTTCGTGTAGATGGGTACAGAAGAAGTTAACAGTCATGTCCGGATTGTAATATTCCTTTTTATTTCTCGTTGACACAGATTTTCGTAGCCAATATAGATTAAGTGGCGTAATAAGCACCCAAGTTTTGAAGAACTAATTGGTACAGATGCAATTTACCCGATGTTTTCGATTATTTTGAAACATGTTTTAAGCAACGGGTGTCAATAAGTTTGCTGGAAGATGAAAGCTTGGGACCTATCCTTCCTAATTTCGGCTTACAATTTTCTACCAGATTGAGTTTTTAGAATCGAGGTTACTTCAAATGAGTTAGAGCGGTGTTTAAATCGAAGTTCCACTTTAGAGAGCCAGAAATTCTGACTAGCGCGCGTTTTCCTTGTGGATCGAAGTTAATGCAAATGAGGAATACCGGTATTCAAGTAGAAGTTCCACTGACTTCGTTAGAGAGCAAGAGATTCTGACTAGCGTGCATTTGCCTTGTGGCTACACTATTATTACGCTCAGTTGTATTTCAGGCCCTTGATAGCTTCGCAGTTTAGTTGATATTTAGGGGCCAACTACTTAGAATTTTGATAGCTTCGCCTATATCTTTTTAGTTAAGCATTAGTTAAGTTTTATTTCTTAGTACTTTTGAGTTCAAGCCCAAGTGGAGGCTTTTCTGTACGCTCTGAGAAAGGAGCCGACTCTTAAATTCTTAGTTTGAGATTAACCCTTCTCGAGTTTACGTCTCTGTTCCTGAACTAAGCGATTATTCTCTTACCAGTTCACGAGGTTCCTACACACTTAGCTGTTAGATAAAGGTTGGAACCCCACAGATTGAACCTATTGAAAATTAAAATTACAATTTTGCTTTACACATCTTACATACACACCCCACACACACACACACACACACACACACACACATATATATATATATATATATATAATCGAATGTTGTTGATCTGGGCAGTCAAAGACCGCCGATTTTTGGTAGTGCATTTGAGAAGGCTGTATGAAGAAAAGGTTTCGTAGTTATTAATTTTAGTAGTTAAAGTTGCCCAATATTCAATAATGACTTGTATAATATTGCATTAGGCATGTGCAGTGTAAACTAATACAATTACTCTGAATGAGCTCTTGGCAAGCATTTAAAACGATAAACAAATATTCTGGCACTTGGAATTTGAGGAAACTTGTTTATTTTTATATCATGTCGTACAAAGAGTAGTCTGTTTTTCTATTTCACAGTGATAATTTTTTTAATATAAAGTACATTCTTTCTTTAGAAGAATAACAGTGCTTCTGTTTCCCAAGATATTGAAATATTTAATATCCCGATGTATTGCAACGTCATCCTTTGGCGGGTGATATCAGCGCAGAGCTGTGAAGATGTTCAAATAACATGCGTCATCTGCGCTGCAGTGATGTTTATTTCTTGTTTATGATCAGTGTCATCGAAGGTTTCTTGTTCTTTCACCTTTTTTTTTTTTTTTTTTTTTTTTTTTTTTGATACCGCAAATGATTCTTGTTTGATGGTTTATCAGAAATCATAGCCTCGTCATCACTGCATTTCATGTGGGATATCACCCATCACTTCTCTGCGCCAAGATAACAGAAAACTGGGGAAAAAGAAATCTCGACAAGTGAGTGCGTTTCTCGAAACGAAATCATGCGTAGAAAATTTTTTACTAAAATATAAAAAAAAAAAAATTAAACTTTTGCCCATGATACCCGATATGCAATACATTCGCATTAAGATTTTAAATTTAGGCAATTAATTTCCGATCAATGACGATAATTACTTGGTTTATAAATTTTCCTTTTCGAAGTCTGAATTTTTTTTTCATGATTTAAATTCAAGTACGTTTAAACAAAAAATTTCAGAATTATTTTTCCATGATTTAAATTCGGGTATCTTGAAAAAGTTTTCGGAATTAAATTTCTTACTTCTGGGTTACTTCATTTTGATACATTGTACTAAATTTATATTAGGAGATAATATAATCAATATTTCTTTAGTAAATAAATTATATATATATATATATATATTATGTCATGATTCCGGGAACATGGAAGATTAATTAGTTTGCAGTCGTTGTAGCTGAGACTGAAGGATTACAGAGGAAGATAACAAAACGTAAACTTGAAGAGTTTCCAGTCTTTATTTTCACACATATAAAATCATCTCCGTAGATGTTTATCCAATCATAATAAAATCCGATGTATTTCTATGATTCAATCATAATGAAATATGATAAAATGCTATTTACATTGATCCTTAAAATTAAGACGCAAGCACTTTAGACGTGGAAGCAAAGCAAGGAGTTATTAGCGAGGGGTGGGAGCTAGTAGAACTAGTGACGTAAATAACTGCGAGGGGTTTTTATACCAGAGTAGGTGCGATTCAAGAGATAAGCTATAATTGATTAGTTATTAGTTTTGATTACCCTTTTCAAGCAGAGTTACGTAATGTCGAAAGATCTCAAATTTGGGAGAACAAATGAATTTAGGAGTAGATAACCAAATCTGGAATGTTAATTTTGTGGTCGCCAATTATTTTTTAAAGCAGCTATCGTATTTTTTTATATCTTACACACACACACA